GGTGTAAACCATGCCAAATAAATTGGTTAAAAGAAAATTTCACAAATTGGACTAGTGAAAATAAACAAATTAATAATATAATTCAAGAAGTACAGTTAAAAATTAATGATTATAATGATACAATATTTGAATGGATACCATATTATCAAATTGTTGATATTAAAGATTTAAGTAATACAATATATTTAGCAAAATGGAAGGATGGTCCATTATATTGGAATGGGAAAGTATATACAAGAAATTTAGAAAATAAGGCAATTATTTTAAAATATTTAGTTAATGCACAAAATATTACAAATGAATTACTAGATGAGGTATGTAAATTTCTATAAACTTACTTAAAGTACATTATAATATATTGATATTTATCATTTTAATAGATTATAGCATATTATAATAAAGTTGAAGTATATGGCATATCTCAAGATCCTGATACAAAATATTACATTATAATATTTAATGGAGATCAGTATTTGGAAAATTGCTGTGTATGTGAAAAGTATTATACAAATGCAAAGCGTAAATGGTGTAAACCATGCCAAATAAATTGGTTAAAAGTAAATTTCACAAATTGGACTAGTGAAAATAAACAAATTAATAATATAATTCAAGAAGTACAGTTAAAAATTAATGATTATAATGATACAATATTTGAATGGATACCATATTATCAAATTGTCGATATTAAAGATTTAAATAATACAATATATTCAGCAAAATGGAAGGATGGTCCATTATATTGGAATGGAAAAGCATATACAAGAAATTTAGAAAATAAGGCAGTTATTTTAAAATATTTAGTTAATGCACAAAATGAATTACTAGATGAGGTAAGTAATAAATTTATTATAAATTAATTTAAGTACATTATAATATATTAATACTCATCATTTAATAGATTACAGCATATTATAATAATCTTCAAATATATGGAATATCACAAAAACCTAGTACAGAAGATTACATTGTAGTCCTTAATCAAGAACAGTATATTAAAATTTTTTGTAATAAATGTACTAATAAATATGTAAATACAGAATATAAATGGTGTGAAGCATGTCAAAAAAGTTATTTGAAAAAAAAATTTACAAACTGGACCAGTGATAACAAACAAATTGATAGATTAATTCAAGTAATGCAATTAAAAATTAATGATGTTAAAGATATAATATTTGAATGGATACCATATAATCAGTTCTCTGATATTAAAGAAATAGGCAAAGGTGGTTTTGCTAGGGTATATTCAGCAAAATGGAAGGATGGTCCATTATATTGGAATAAAAAAAAATATACAAGAGATTCAAACAAAACAGTGGCTTTAAAATGTTTAAATAATTCTCAAAATATTTCCAATAAATTTCTTAATGAGGTATAAAATCTTTATATAAAATTTGAATACTTTTCCTTAAATATGATAATTAACTACTACGTTTTTTAGGTTGAAGCATACTCAATTAATAATTTAAATAATACAGATAATTCTGGTGAAATTCTAAAAATATTTGGTATATCTCAAAATCCAGATACTAAAGATTACATTATGGTTCTTCAACATGCAAGAGGGGGAAATTTTAATAATTGGTTAAACAATAATTATAAAAACTTTAATTGGTCCTATAAATTAAAAGTGTTAAATAATATTATTAATGGTCTTAAAGAAATCCACCAAAAACAGTTGGTTCATCGTGATTTACACACAGGGAATATATTATTTAAGGATACTTATTATTGGGTTACTTCAAACTATATTTCAGATATGGGATCAAGTGGAGAAGTTGATAATATGGATGAAACAAATATTTATGGAGTTATGCCTTATGTAGCTCCTGAAGTATTAAGAGGAAGTACTTATACTGAAGCAGCAGATGTATATAGCTTTGGCATGATTATGTATTTTGTGGCAACTGAGAAACAACCATTTGCCAATCGTGCACATGATGGATTATTAGCATTAGATATATGTAATGGAATTAGACCTGAAATAAACGAGCAAGAAGCACCTAAGTGCTATATTGATTTAATGACAAAGTGTTTGGATACAAACCCAGCCAATAGATTAAATGTTAATGAAGTAGAAGAATCAATTAAGTTATTTTATGAAGATCAATTCAAAGCAGCAGAAGAATATAGATTAAATAATAATGATGGGGATAAAGATAATCAGTCAACTCATCCTCAAGCCATTTATACATCTAGATTACTTAATCCTTTTACAAAAAGTCTTCCAAAATACACGGATGATAATACTGATTGCTTGGACTGTGCAATTTAATAGAGGTAAACTTTATAATTATTTGGAAGAATTAGTTTGGTTTATAATGAGAAATTATTTTAAATTTTCTTTTTTTAAGATAGTAACTTTTAATATTATAAATTTTGGTTCAACACTGATTATAGAGTAACATGTAAACCTTTCTTTACATAAATAAAATCAGTATGTAATTGGACAGCTCAATTTAAATAATAATTGTTCTAAGTGTTACTTGTTTCAGTCCAGAAAATATATTTAGAGATGCCTTAAAAGTAAACAATTATATGTCCATTTAAAGGATCCTTCTGTAAAGTATAAATGAGAAGTTAAAAAATTTGTATATCGTTACTCCATATTTATCAACAAATTTTAATATTCTTTTCAGTATGTAATAAAAAGTTGTAAATTTATATTATAGTTGTCCTCATAAGTTCATATAATTATTATTTTTGTCTGTTGTACTAGAATAGATAATAGTGGCGAAGAACTTCTCGCATTCAATACGCTTGATGTTACGTTATGAACCATGTTGCATATTTCAATGATCCCATGATCACTAGATAATAGACGTTATCGCTGTTATCGCTAAATAATTTAGGATTATGACTAAGAATTAGACAAATCCTTTAAATTAATGGTAAGTCATTACCGAATAATTATTTTCACATTTTTCTATTATATGTCTGTTGCAATTTATGAGCGATGTTTAAAAATATAGTACCGAACGTCAGTGTTGAATTAGAACTGACAAATATGTAAAGAATCACCTCTGTTTGGTGAAACAGAACGTGAGATCGGAACATTTATGTTTTAATTATAAATTTGTTAAAAAGTACAAATAATTGTGCTCAGACTATATATTATATAATATTTGGCATAATACATCGTCCGCGTTTAATATGAATAAAAAAAATAAGAGCTTTTCCGACCTTTTTTAAGAACAATGGTGTATTTATACAAAGACGTGTTTTATTCAATATTTGATGAATTAAAAGATGACAAAAAATATATCCTTTACTTAGTATGTAACAGCAGTGCCAATTTTATGGAAAAATCCTATACGAATTAATAATCTTAATTATCTATCTGAAAAAGCAGTATGTACATTCTTTATGTAGAATTAAGAGAATATTTAAAGAGTCAAAAAATTTATACGGAAACATATCAACATCCTTTGTTTAATTAATTACATTATTAACTTCTGGAGATATTTAGGCTATTACTGAACCGCCCAACGTGCTTATTAAAAGAAATCCCAACGTGTCTATCATAAGAAATGAGATATTAAAATTATTTATTAACAAGAATACAAAGTTTACTCATTTTTCTATTTACATAAAATTGACCAGAGTATTTTAGAAGGATTAGCTAGAATATGTAAGTCAATTAAAAAATTAGTATTTGATATTATTTGTACATTGGACGCATAGAAATTTGGAAAAATAAAGTGAACAAAGCGTGTATATTTATGTTGAGTTTAACCGCGCCACTCACATGATACTATGACTTTATCACCATGTGATATTGAGTACACAATTAACTACGCGTCTTATATCCTTATATCTCAGCAGGATGATAGGATGATAAGATACGTCATTAACTTTATCCATAATTATTATAAAATTACACAATTAACTACGCATCGGGCTAATTATTTCATATGATTTCTAAAATAATTAATTCTGAGAACTTTCTCTCGGATGTTCCCTTTTGATTATTTAACCAATTTAGTAATAAGAGTGCTATAATTACGTCAATTTCATTAACAAATCTTTAGTATAATGCCGGCATCTTCCCGTTTGCTTGTCATATTTTATTTTTTATTAATAAATCATTGTATCATATTCAAAAAAAATATAAAATGCGCGAAAAATTCTCTCAAAAAAAAAAATATAGCAATATGAATCAATTTTTTCCTACTAGTGAACAAATACAAAATCTTGCTAATAGAGCAAGAGATGGTGCAATTGTTCAAATATTAACTGGAAAAGATTTACTTAAACCGAGCTTAGAACGTAAATTGCTATTGGATAATCAACATTGTACAATTAATGTTGACGAAATTTGGGCGCATTTAACAACGTCACAACAAGAGTATCTTAAGAATCTCGCAGATAACATAAATAGGATTCGGAATTCTGCCAATATAGAGTCAATAGTTCGAATAAATACGCCACAAACCGCAAATACCACTTTAGGAAATGATTTTTTAAACGGAACAAATTTTCATGAAGATAAAGATAAGAGTATAGAATCTTTGATTTTACCTTTAGGTATGATTTACAAAATATTCTTTCACGTCTCGAGCTTTCGTTAAAGTATTAAAACACCATTTGTTTCATTATTACATTTAGGTATGGTTTACGAAAGTTCCTTTCAATAATAAACGCCATTTATTTCACTATTTAGGTATGTTTAACGGAGTGAAATTTTATTAAAGGTTCTCTCATAAAGTATTCAATATTAACCTTTTACTGTTACCTTTAGGTATGGTTTTACGAAGATCCTTTCAATATTTCACTTCACAATCACTATTACCATATAAGAATAAGTCTTTTTTTAAGAATATTATGTTTAATAATACTTTATTATTTATTGTGTGTATAACGTAAAATTTTTCGAATTTTAAACATATATCTATCATTATTAATAAAATTTAAGTTTTATAAGATTTCTCTAAATATATATCTATCTTAAAAATTTGTATTTGTATTTTCTTAATTTTCAAATATTTTGTTACAAAAGGTAGAGAGTAAATAAAAAATAATTGTTTTTCATAATTTCATAAGTATTATTTAAAAATGTGTATCACTATTATTAACCACTTTTTTTTTAGCAAGAAAAAAAAATAAAATGAATATTATGATAGAATATAAAAAAAGGAACTAATTGTGCAACCTTTTTTTAGTCGGGATAAGCACATTGTAACTTAAAAAAAAAATTTGTAATAATATAAAATTTATAATATTCATTAAAGCCTTCACCTTGAAGGTACATTCACAAAATGTTCATATAAATTATTCTAAAAAGAGTGACCATTTATTTATATAAAAGATACAGGTTGCAGAATTATTCAAAAGTTTATTGTCGATGTGTCGTTAAAGTTCTTACTTGAAAGGACTATCACTTCCAATTTCGGAGTGAAAATTGCTCATTTCGTCCCTTTTTCGGATATATCGTCAGTAACGCGCATCATAATAATTTAAAGTTGATTATAAATGATTTTGATAAAATGCAAGCATCCGAGTCCAAAATGATCAAGTATAAGACAGTAGTAAGACTTCTTTGTTTGAAGAAGGTGGTTCTCAAATAACGGCACGTCGATCATTTTTCACATTTTTATGGATTTTTTTTTATTATTTTTGATAACGAGAAGTTGAAAAATATTCTGATGTTTTTATAAGAAAATTCCTAATTAAAAAAAACTGACGTATAATTTTGATCACTATATCGATCCCTGACTTTGATATGATTTTTAATAGATCATAGTGTCTTAGATATTTTTTAATGATGACAATTTTGTGTAACTGTGTAACTAATTAACGTTATATTAATTAATTTCAATATAACTCATTATGCTCCAATATTTATGTTGTTTGCGTTAGCACTCGGTGAACGGGCATGAGCGCTAATGAATGAAAGTATTAACGGTAAAAGCCGTGTTTTTGCGTTCCCGAGTCCAAACTCTTTTAGGTATGATGAAAACCAAATTAATCACACAAAGCCTCCCCTTTTTTGATAAGGCGTAGTAGATGAATGATCTACATTTTAATGAATGGTTTGAATCAAAAAAAAAACCCTCCATCCTCCCCCAAAAAATGTTTTTGAAAGTAATTTTTAAATGAAAGTTTTCCGGTTACTTATCACATGTGATATACCATGCATCACCGGAATTACATTTAACCTTTAATTGTGTCTTAATCGAAGTAATTTCATTATATCAAGTGAGATCACCGCTTATACCTTCAATAAAAGTCGATTTTATTCGCAAAAAAAAAAGTTTCTTGTGGACATTTTATGCGAAATTGATTTTTCCTGCATTATACAATCATAAAGATGATCTATAAATGTCTAATGCATAAGTATGTATAATAAGACTAATCATTTTCTTAATATAGAAAATTTTATAATAACATAATTATTTGATAAAAATAATCTTGATTTTTATTTTGTTTTTTTTTTTTAAAAAAAGATGTTTATTCGATAATTATAATTGAGTCAGCCTAAAAATAATCGATAAATTTAAACAATAATAACAATAAATTAATGTGGACATCGCGGGGTGTGATCTCCATATTTATCAATCATATATCTTACTTTTAAATATACTGTATCATGCGATTGTCAGCGACTGTCCAATCTAATAAAATCGTACCATCTTCCCAAAAACCTCCGACAATTTAACCGGATATCCTTAATAAATTAACCGATTCCAACTTATGATATATGCACATATTTTTACGAAAGGTCGCCGACAATTTAAGATTAATTGTCATTTTCCGGGTGTTACGTTAAATTAAATTTTTTTGAAACTTCTAATTTCGCATAAATTATTAATTTTTTACTCGTCCAATTTCCTAAAAAGAAAAATTGTTCACATTGTTCACAAGATTTAGTAAACAAATATCATCATAGTTAGTAAATATAACCGTAATTATTCATAACGCTTTAGGTTAATCTATTTGTTGATTGGCTATAGTAACAATAAAATCAACAACGATTGTTAGAATTCCCTAAACATACAAATCATCACAATAAAATAACTATAATTGTACCAATATCAAATCCATCACAATAATTAAGAATCGTATTTCAGAATAACAATGATCCCGGAGGGCTTAAGACTTTCTGGAAAATGTTTAATTCTTCTTTTTTAGTTTTTAAAATAATAATAAGTTAATAATGTTACTGAAATAAAATTTCCTTCCATTTATCATAAACTCAGTCTGAAAGTGCTATTTCTTAGACAAAAATAATTAATGTCACTCCTAAAAAATAAATTTTGAAAAAATTCTCACATTTTTACCAGGAAATTCAAGAATTTACGGCATTTTATACAATTATACAATTACGGCACATGTTGTAATTAACCGCAGAAATAATTCCAATGACACCTATAAATATACACCTAAATCTTTAAGACTTATGCTTTATGCTTTTAAAAGCAGTCAGTTTTTATACGGGCAGCAAGTTAATATATTGAATATATATATATATATAAATTGTTGCATCGTAATCGATCACCATAGAGTGATCGAAGTGTTGGTAAAATTATCCTAGTGCGGGCCAAAATTATGACTTTGACCAATGCCCGACACTATAATTGTTCTGGCCAGCATTATTGGTCACGTGCATTTTGAATTTTTCATATTTCAAAATTTATATAAAAAAAAGATATTGCAGGTAATTTACATGGTAATATTATGTACGTAATATTGGAAATATTTTAATATAAAATGCATCAAAGGTATTTTTAATAAATATAATGATAAATAAATTATAATTATCGCACAGCCCTATAGGATAATGCTGATTTTATTTGACCGATCTTTTTATTACCGTAAAATATTGATATCAATAGTTTATTTGCATACAAGCGTACGATAATATAGATATTGTACGGCATACGTCATACTTAAGAGCGAAAACATTTTACTGTCTCGATCACATAATCACATGCACCCGTTGTCGATCGGTAAACGGGTTGAAATTAATATATTTTTAAAATGTTTTTTTTTAAAAAAAAATTTTATTCTAACATTTAATTATATTGTTGAAATTTAATCTTTAGAAGAACTAATTATTTTATTTTATTATTTTTATTTTTAATAAGGAAAAAAAAAATGTTATGATTTTGTTATACTTTAAATTACTTTTAGGGTAACGTAATGGAAACATCATAAATTTATTTTATTTTTTATTATGTCATACAACAGAAAATAATAAAATAAAAATAAAAAAATAAAAAAATGAATAGTACATATACGGAAAGGAGTAAAAAGTAAAAAAGTGAAAGACTAACCAAAAATGACAAAAAAAAAAAAAAAAATAGTGATGATCATTGAAAAAATAAATTTCATTTACGGTTTACGTAAGATGTTTACATTTTACACGTACGTAAAACGAAAAAAATTAAAAGAAAAAAAAAAATAAAAAATCACATCATAATTAATAAATAAATCATTGATATATAGTATTTATGGTATTCATTTCTCATTCACTATCATAATCATAAATCATAATATACTCCATATGGAAAAAAAGAAAGAATTAGAGGGATTATTCCGATTGACTTTATTTTATTTTTTCGGAATTCTTAATTAACATTTGTCATCAGACAAAATGACTTACATATAATCTAAACAAAAAGATAATCAATCAATTGAATTATCTCATAGGACAAAAAAGTTATCTATTATGATATTTCAAATATATAAGTTATAGACTTACAGGGAACATTATAATAAAGAATATTTTACAGTCTTAATATATGCAATTAAACATTGCTGAATTATTGGAATTATTAAAATAATTAACTGAAATGTGAACTTTATCATAAGAATTATTGTTTCAAAGTCAACACTCATATAATGTTTTTAGATACTGCAAAAAATTTTATAATTTGTGTATTAGATCGTACGCAAAATGTTACCGTAATTTTTCCTAGTGTTTGAAAAAAATGAAGCCATATTGATAAATATGTAAATAAAAAGGCAATAATGATTTTTTTTAAATTTTATTTTATTTTTTTTTTGATTTGCAACGCATTTCTTTATTAAACTTTAGGATAGAACCTACTATTTAATTTACAGAAATACATAGAGACACTCATACTAACATAATATGACCCTATAACAAACCGATTTATCCAAAATAAAACATCACTAAATCAGTAAATCTAATCCCAAACACTTTCCCAATTACTCAATTTCTTCTCTTCTTACTCCTCATCAACTATCTAGGGATTTCCATGGCTTTTGCTACGCGTGCAATGGTAAGCCCATACCTACCGTGCCCTCCTACAAATCTAGAAGCCCTTGGCATATCCTAATCTATCTAATGATTCTAATCGCAAACAACAACGTGGGTACGCCATTATACGGAAATGTGCCCTAACCTAAACAAAGAAGCTAAGCTTATCACTTGTTCAGAAAAAAAGAATAGGAACACCTCCTTTCCAACGCCAAGTACCAACAACCTACAAAACAAAACGTTAGTATGTATTCCCAAGAAACTAAACTAGCCGTAACTCCAGTTGAACGCGAAGCATAAAGCAAGTCGTCCGACGTAGCAGCTCGGTTGGTTCTGCGGTACACTTGTCCAGCCCAATTCCTCAAATTCCACAGGAGATCCATCAAGAAACCTTTTACTTTTTTATCGAAA